TAACTGGGAGTTAGCCGGAAGGGCTGGGAGACTGCAGGGTTGGAGGAGGTATCGGTCAGAGCTTGGTCGGGCTTGGGGGGCGAGTTATCGGTCGGCTGGTGGTGAGGTGTTGTATTCTCTTCCCTTGTTATTTCCTTTATCATTATTATCATTGGTGGTAGCAGTAGTGATTTGTGTTATACCTTAGTTACTAAACTGTTCTTATCTCAACCCGTGGGAGTTGCATTCTTTTCGATTCTCCTCTCCGTCCCTCCGGGAGCAGGGGGAGGGCAAGAAAGGGGGGGAAAGTGAGCGAACGAATTACCTGACTGGGTTTAAACCACGACAGTCCTTTTTGGCGCCCAACGTGGGGCACGAAGGGTTGAGATAACGACAGATTTGACTGGATTAATAGTCATTCGTCACAATGCTGATTTATTGGGTATCAGAGTTGTTCTTGTTGATCTCACAGCTTCAGACCGTTGTAACTTACGTAGAGCCGGTATTTGCTGTGATAGTGTTTATCAAGTGTGGGGCCTGGGCTAAGGTTCTTGTCTCACTGTGCTTTATGGCAATGGCTTGTAATACGGGCGGGCTCCAGCAGCAGGGCGGGACGGACGTGGCCGTGGACTTGTACCTGGCCGTCCGGCTGCTCTTCACCGTCCTGGCCCTCACCCTACTCTCCATCTTCGTGAGGCTGCGGGGAACCGAGGAGGAGCGGCCTCGGGAGCCGGCGGCTGCTGAAGCGGCCCGGGAGAGCGGCCCCGGGGACCAAGCGGCGGCGGGAGCGGGGCTGGAGGCCGCGAGGGGACGGCTGCGGGTGGAGGAGGCCGGGGCGGTCGAGGAGCGGAAGGAAGCGGCTGCCGAGCAGCGGGATAAGGCGGCGGAGGAGCCGAGCCCCGCGGAGGAGCCGAGCCCCGCGGAGGAGCCCAGCTCCGCGACGGCCGAGAGCATTCCCCGGAAGCCGCCCGCCGAGCCCCAGGAGGATGCAGGAGACCACGCAGCATTTCCCAGCAAGGCAGAGGAGGAAGAGCTGGACTCAGGAAAAGAGAAGCCGGTGGTGGGAGAGCCGGCAAGCACAGCAGCTACATCAGCCCCAGTGACAAGCACAGCAGCATCGTTTGAGAGTTCTGAAGGTTTTGAATGGCCTTTGGGTATCCCTGGGACCTGCCTGCTGATTGTGATGGGGATCAGCATGTTGGCACACACACAGGCTGTGTTCTACCCACAACCATTTTGTCTGATCTCAAAAGTTAAGCAGAGTCAGGTTTGGGTCTTGTCTGGGGTTAGACAACAATATAGGGGGACCAAGAGATTTTCCCCAAGGCTGGAGAGTCATGAGTGGCAGGGTGTGTGGGACAGTATGGGCAAGTATCTAGTCCACTGGGCCCCTCCACTGCTTTGGAAGCATTGGAGATGGAAGGCAGCTGTATGGAGTCCCCAGCAACAAGCTGCAGAAACTGCTTAAGGGGACAGTGAATTATTTTAAGCCTGGTGGGCCCATGGCACTTCAGGCCATCAGAGCAGAGATGCAACACAGAGATGGACTCATGATCGAGGGGTGGACTTAACAATGGACACTATTGCCCAGGTTATTCACGAGTGTGAACACTGCACACAGTCTCTCCTGCTCTGGAAGACTGTTACAAGAGGTGGAGCCTGACATGGACCAGATGGAGGCAGCAGCTTTATAGGGACTGGTCCATGCACTAAGATAAGAGTGCACCGAGATAAGAGTGATGGTATATTGAAAATGTGGGATCTGAGCATGACGTGAATGGTATGGAATAAGGGGTGGATAATGTCCTGGGTTCAGCAGTAGCAGTCATGTTTCTCCTCCTTGGTAGCTGGTGTAGTGCAGTGTTTTGACTTTCGGCTCGGGAACAGAGCTGATAGAGATGTTTTGGTTTGGCCAAGGACTTTGTGAGCCTCATGCTCTGCCAGGGAGGAGGGGAAGCTGGGAGGAAGCAGAGACAGGACACCTGACCCAAACTGACCAAAGAGGTATTCCATACCACAGCACGTCATGCCCAGGATGTAACTGGGAGTTAGCCGGAAGGGCTGGGAGACTGCAGGGTTGGAGGAGGTATCGGTCAGAGCTTGGTCGGGCTTGGGGGGCGAGTTATCGGTCGGCTGGTGGTGAGGTGTTGTATTCTCTTCCCTTGTTATTTCCTTTATCATTATTATCATTGGTGGTAGCAGTAGTGATTTGTGTTATACCTTAGTTACTAAACTGTTCTTATCTCAACCCGTGGGAGTTGCATTCTTTTCGATTCTCCTCTCCGTCCCTCCGGGAGCAGGGGGAGGGCAAGAAAGGGGGGGAAAGTGAGCGAACGAATTACCTGACTGGGTTTAAACCACGACAGCCGGGGACAAAACCTCTTTAAAAGAGTCAATTTCTTCTCAGGAGGGCTAAGCTGCTTTTCAAGCCCCTCCACCATTTCCATGGCAATGGTTTCCTAGGCAATGCCAGCTCCTTGCTTACATAAGGATGTTTGAAAGCCTTTCTTTTTCGGAGGCTTTGGCATTGCCCCCTCTTTTGGAGAGCAGGGCCCCTCTGCTCCCTGACTGGCACCTGCCCACCTTGTACTTCCATTTCACCTCTCTGTAGGAGCCCCACAACGTGGCCTCAAGGCTTGTGGGGCTCAGCTTATGCCTGGCTCCCACTTTGGTGGGCTTAACTGTCACACCTCTGCTCAAGCTCATCCTGCACCAGGCTCTCCCTGCAGAGACCAGAGTACCAGTAAATGGGGAGGAAGGGCAGTGGGGCTGCCAGACCCCAGCTTGCTGCCTATCCCTCTCCCAAAGCATCCCCCCTTCCTAAGGGGCACCAGTGACTGGCTTCAGGTTCTATGATGTTGCTGCTTTGCCAGTGGCTAGGACCAGCAGTAGGGTGGGCTTGGATGGTGCTGTCTGAGCCCTGCCAGGTCTGGCACTGAAACAGCAGCACCTGCAAGGGTGAAATGAATCTGGATTTCATTTGCCTTGGGAGAAGAGCAAGGGAGCACAGGTCCCTCTTATCAGATCCAAAGTGATGCCCAGGCTTTTGGGGCCTGCCTGCTCAGTCTCCATCATCCATGCAGGTACAGCCAGGTGGGGAGCAAGGACTTCCATCAGGTTTCTGGGCTGGTGGTTTGCAGAGTAGGACATTTCTGGTGTCTCTCTTGGAGAGATTATTAATTTTTAAAATTATGAATTATTAAATTTTTAAAAGACGGCAGTGGTGGAAAAGAAATAACACCATTCCTAGCAGCCCTAAAGCTGGGGAGATGCTGGGGCTGGGAGTGACAGTCTGTGTAGGTCTGGGCTGCTCCTTGCCCTGCTTGCTCAGGGTCCCTGTTGACAACTGGAGGGGAAGTGAATCCTGGTGTCACTGATGTGAGGGTGAGGAGGGTGAAGAAAGCACCATGGGCACCAGTATGGCTCTCACTCACCTGTGCTGGGGCAGGGCTTGGTTGGCATGCAGGGGATATTAAAGAGCAATGACTCTCCCAGGACAACCTTTGCATGACAGTCTTTCAGGGATTGGCCCATGGTGATGCTGACCCATGTCCCTGATGGTGCCCATGTGGAGTGGGTCTAGACAGCAAATGCCCCAGCAATGCACCTCGGTATCTAAAGGATGATCTGGGCAAGGATCAAAGCAGCATTCACAAACCAGCCAGGCCTTGAGCCCTCCTGCTTCCTCTCCAAGAGCCTCAGGGTGGGATGGGATGAGCTCCCCAGGATGTGCAGTGGCAATCTCCCCTTTTTCCCCCACCCCAGCACTTTTCCCTCACCTCTTTGGGGTATTTAATCCTGCCCCAGTTAAACTCTTTTCTGTCCCTCTGCTCCTCCCCAGAGCCATCACTGCTCCCTTGCCAAGATGCTCTTGCCTGGGGGGGCTGTGGGGGAGTGCAGGGGTCCCCCATTCTCACACCAGCCACAGTAAAGCCCTTGGGGCTGCTGGAATAAGCCAGGTTGTTGGAATGCAGGGGGCAGGAGCTTCTGCCCTGGGACCTGGTGGCCCTGGCCCTGCTGGAGTTCTGGGCCACCCGCCAGTGGATGGTCTCATAGCCAGTGGGGTGGCAATGACATTCAGTGCCATTCAAGTGGAGTCAGCCTTGCTCAGCCCTCCCGTGTCCCTGCAGCCCTTTTGCATTCACCTCAGCTTTTCCACCCCTTCTCCCTCTATTTTGCCACTGTCTGATTTTTTCTGCCTGCTCATGCCCCTCTGCATGTCTTGCTTTTCCCTGGAGGCTGTGGATGCTTGTGCTCTTTGGCTCCACAGGCAGCAGGGCTGAGGAAAGCAAGAATTCCACCTGGACCCATGAACAGCTTTGTACCTGTGCCAGGACCCCCTGGAAGATGGGCTTACCCCTCACACGGTCCTTCCTTAGCAGAGATGGATCTTGGGCTTGGCTCTGAGCTCCAGGCAGGACAAAGCAATGCAGAGGAAAACCTCTTTTGGGGCAGACAAGGTGGATGCCATCTCTCTGCCTTCCTGTCCATCCTTTCTTCAACATTCAGACCCCCTGACTTGTTTGCAGGACACCATGTTCGGTGGCTCCCCACCAGCTCTGGGTGATCAATTGCCCAGGTCAGGGAAAGGGCTCTCCCCAAGGAAAAGGGGCTCAGACCTGTTATTAGACATCAGAGACTCTGTGGGAATAAGCCTGCTGGTTGAAGCTGAGCTCACGGGGCTTGAGCTGTGATTCCTGATGCATGTGTGTTGCTGCAGGCTACAGGTCCAGCATGATTCTGCATGTTTGCATGTGGCTGGAGCCACACGTGTGTGCTGGGTGCCCAGGCACCCCAGCCTGTCCCGCTGTGCCCGAGGAGGGAAAATGGAGCAGGTTCTGCATGGCGCCAGGCAGTTTTTCCTTCATAAACAAGAATATTCGGGGCTAATTGGAGCATGACTAATTCCGTTGGCAGCCAATGGCTGAGTGCTGGCTCCATCGCAGTGCTCCCGCAATGGAGCCCAACCTGTGTTGAGGGGGGAGGGAGGCAGAGGCAGGGCTTAGCACAGGGCTGGGGCTCTGCTATAAAGCCAGGCGAGGGGCTGAGCCAGCGCAGAGCTCTGCTTCACCCAGTCCACTGCACCGCTGTGCCGCGCACCGGGACCCTGCTCTTGTTCCACTCTGCCTGAGCATCCTTGTCCTCCCAGTTCCTCACCATGCCTGAGTGCTGGGATGGGGTAGGTACCACCGCTCCGTGCTTGCTGCCCTCCCTTTGCCGAGTTCTGCCTCAAGTACCTCCCCTGCTCGTTGAGGCTGGACCTTTGTACCCAGCAGGGCTTGGAGTGGGGCAGGCAGGGGTTGGTGAGGGGGAACCTGCTGCTGGGGAGCTTTTGCTTCTTGCAGCCCCATTGCTGCATATCTGATGTGCCACAGGCTTCAGGGACACAGTGTCCTTGAGCATGTCCTCCCCGAGCCCAGCTGAGATGCTGCACCCAGGCTGAGTGTGGCTGCAGAGGCTGCTGATGGGGGGATGGGTGGTACCTTGCCCCTTCCCCACCCCAGATCTGCAGAGGGAGAGGGTCTCCTGCTGTTTTGAAGCAATCTCTTGGATGCCTTTTGGTCTCTGTAGTAATGGCAACAGGCTGGTGCAGAGGAGGAGCACCTCAGTAGTAACTGAGTGACCTGTACAGGGCTGGGTGCCTGAGTGCTGTGACACTCCTCCTCCACCTCACCCTACTCCGCTTCTTGCTAGGGCCATGGGTTGTCAGTGCTCTCTACTTCTCTCTGCCTGCATCCCCTGCATCCTTATCCTGCCCCCCTCCCCCCCCCCCCCCCCCCCCCCGAGCATCCCTGCTGCAAAGGGCAGGGCTGTGGTACACAGGAATGCTGCAGAGGCTGCACCATGGGCAGGGATGTGCCTGGCTGGGGGAGGGGGGGAAGTTGGGGGGGGGGGGTGGGGAAGGAGCTGCCACCTTGGGCATGTGATTTTGGGGTGGGAATGCAGCCTGAGCTGTTGGAGCTATGATGGGGACCATGGGCACAGTGATGGCAAAGAGTCAGCCCTATGCCCAGGATCAGACTACATGGATGCTTCCTGCTCTGTGACCTTGGGCCAGGCCCTTCCTCTGCCTCAGTTTTCCCACCACTGGTGCAGAGGGATGTCCCTGCTCATTACCTGCTGTCTGATACAGCCTTGGGGAGTGGAGGGGCAGCTGTGGATGAGGGGTGGGTTTGGGGTGCCTTTGGGGAGCAGAGTGTGGTCTCCACAGAGCTTTTGAGCTGCCCTCAAGCACTGCATCCCCCCACAGATAATGGATCTCAGTGAGGGGAGGCACTGCAGTGAGGAGACCACGTCCTCAGGCAGTTCCTCCCACCTCAGGCCCGTGTCCTTCAGAGTCCTTGGCAGCACATAACCCGCAGGAGCATCCACATACATACCTGCTACCCTCCCAACAGCCCATCTGTGAGGCTGTCAGTTCCCACAGTGAGGACTGTGCCAGCATCCCCTGCCCACCCCATGACGTTCCTGTTCCCACCAGATCCTGGATTCGAGGTCACTGGCTGGCAGGGATGGGCATCCGGAGGGGACCTTGGTCCTTTGTCCCCAGGCAGCTTGCAGCATCAGTTTCCCTTGCTGGCTGGGGATGATGGCTGTGAGCCCTCCCAGCCAGGGAAACTGAGGCACAGGGCAACCCTGGTCTCTGTATGGGGGCACAGCCATGTCAGACCAAGATGTTTTTAAGTTACTTTAGCTGTGATTTTGGCATCAGGCTTCAGAGTTTCCCAGGGCAGTGTCTGGGGTCTGACCTCTGTCTGTTTGTCCCAGGCACAACGAATCCAGGCCAACTGGGTCATGCTGTCATCCCCATCCTGTTGCCAAACTCCCTCAGTCTCAGGCCCTTGAAGATCTCCTGTCCCATGCTGTGGTCTACCTGTCCTGTTCCATGATCCTTGTCTCCCAAGACATCTTGGATCATCCCATCCCATCCCAGACTTCTATCCCTTGATCCCATCCTGTGATCCCACCCCATGATGCACCATGATCCTAAATCCCATTATCCTATCCCAAGTCCTCCCTTTCCTTCCTTGTGATTTGCCTTCCTTCTGCAACTGCAGGGATGCCCAAAGCTGTTTTTTTTCTTGTAATGGCTACTCCTCTTTCCCTTGTGCTCCCATGGGATCCAGCTGCCCAGGGTAAGGGCTGGGGTGATGGGGCATGAGAGGATGTTTTGAGCGAAACGCATCACCCCATCTCTTCTCTTCCCTCAGGAACATGACATTGAGACCCCCTATGGACTGCTGCACGTGGTCATCCAGGGCTCTCCCAAGGGGAATCGCCCGGCCATCCTGACATACCATGACGTGGGCCTCAACCGTGAGTACTTGTCCCTGAGCCATGGGGTGCAAGGGCAGGAGGGAGCAAGCTTGGGGCTGCAGTGGGTGCAGGATGTCAGCCTCCCATGGAGGGTCCCCAGGTTGCGTTGGGTGCCCCCAGGTATCTGATGGCACCAGGAGGGTTTGGATGCTCAGCACAATCCAAAGCCCAGGCCAGGAGTGCTTGGGCACCCTGCTGCTGGCTGTGGGCTGGCCACATCAGGAAGGATGGAACACAGGGGATGCTGGATGGGTTTCCGCTGCTGCCTGCCCATTGGAATCCAGAGCATGCACCCTGTCGTGGGGTCTGAAGGAGATGGGGAAGAGTAGGGAAGGAGAGACCTGATCTGGGGATTCTGTGCTATCTGGTTTAGATGGAGATGAGGAACAATTTCTTTACTGAGGGGCTGGTCAGGCATTGGAACAGGCTGCCCAGGGCAGTGGTGGAGTTACTGTCCCTGGAAGTGTTCACAAACCATGTTGCTGAGTCCCTTAGTGACATGGGTTAGTGGTGGCCTTGGCAGTGCTGGGTAATCTTGGTGATCTTGAAGGTCTTTTCCAACCTGATTGATTCTATGATTAGACCTGCAGCCCAGACCCTGGGCTGTATCCCTGAGCTGAGCCAAGCTGGGATGCCCAGTGGCCTATGTGAGGAGGAGCTGAGGCTGAGTCACCACAAGTGGAAATGAGCACTTTCACTTCCAGGGATGCACCATGTTGGTTGCGATGGCCCTTACAACCTGCCTCACCCCTATGTTTTAGAAGGGGTGTCCTGGCACTGATGCCATGGGACAGAACCCCTCCAAGCCCTGACAATGGCTGTATCCCACTGCAATGGTGGTGGCCTGTCCACAGCAGCACCAGGGCTGTTTCTTTGACTGTTTCCAAGGAGGGAGATTTGCAACCGTTTCTCAAATCCCATGTTTGATTGAGCCCATGCTGGGGATTTTGGATAGGGCTGATAATACCCCAGGCTACTGTTCCTGCTGCCCAGGGTGGTTCTGCAGCTCTGGGCTTTGAGTTCCCCAGTCCCATCCCTCCAAATTGACAAGGCCGATCCCAAACACCTCATTTTCCTGGCTGTGTCTGTCCATCTCCATGCTTCCCAGCACCAGTAGGGATGCAGGACTTGCTAACAGTGGCTGTGGTCTCTGCTGTGGGGACAAGGAGCCTGGCAGGAAGGGGATGGGAAGGCTTTGGTGACATGTCACCTCCTGGTTGAAGGGCAGTGGGAGGGTAGGTAACATTTCTGCATACTCTCTGGCCCCCGTGCCGGGGTGTTTAGTGTCTGATCCCTGCCTACCCTTTGACAGACAAGCTTTGCTTCAATACCTTCTTCAACTATGAGGACATGCAGGAGATCACGAAGCACTTTGTGGTGTGCCATGTGGATGCACTGGGCCAGCAGGCAGGAGCCTCGCAGTTCCCTCAGGGGTAGGTGCCAGATTTAGGGACTCACTATGCCCACAGGGTGTCACCTCCCTGCCTGCTGGGATGTCACTTCCCTGGCCACTGTCATGTAACATCTCTGTCACCTTCCTGCCCACTGAGATGTCACCACCCTGCCCATGGGCTGCTGCTGCCTGAGCAGTTGTGCCCTGCCTGCAGGTCTCTGAACTGTGTCAAAGCCCGTGGCAGACAAACAGGGTGGATTGCAGGTGGATGACAATTCCTTGCCCACTCCAGGCAGCCCTGCTGCCCTGTCCCAGCCTTCCTGCTCTGCATCCCATAACATCATCCTGTGCCCCCCCTGTGCTGCAGGTACCAGTACCCATCCTTGGACCAGCTGGCTGCCATGCTCCCCAGTGTGGTGCAGCACTTTGGGTAAGTCACCTCCCCTCCACACTGCCGGCTGGGGGTGCTGGGCAGAGAGATGGGCAGAGGACAATGCTTTGGGGCTGGGGAGGTGTCCCAGTAAGCTGGCATCCTGCATGTGCCCTTGTGCTGCAGGTGGAGGGGTGCCCCAGGGAGCCCATGCTGGAGCCCACTGGCCCCCCCATACGCACCTCTTCACTTTCCAGGTTCAAGTACGTGATCGGGATTGGTGTTGGGGCAGGAGCCTACGTGTTGGCCAAGTTTGCGGTGAGCTGGGGCTGGGCTGGGCTGGCCCTGAGTTACCTGTAGCTGCTGTCAGCCCAGGGCATGGGGAAGACCAGGATCTGACACCCCTGGGCAGGCTGTGACCCTGTGAAGGCTCCTGGAGGAATGGGGGCCCAGGATGACAATGTGGTCATGCTGGCCAGGTCTTGCCACATGTCTCCCATTGCTCCCAGTGCAGTGGGCAGTGGTGCTGGTGGGGGCTGCCCTACCCTGCTGAGCACTGCCCATCTTGCTCGCTGCAGCTCATCTTCCCTGACCTGGTTGAAGGACTGGTCCTCATGAACATTGACCCCAACGGCAAAGGCTGGATTGACTGGGCAGCTGCCAAGGTGGGCAGAGCCCTGACCCCACTCCCTGGGGCAGGAGCCAGCCAAGTGGCACTGTAACTCCCTGTGCTCCCTCCACAGCTCTCTGGCCTCACCAGCACACTACTGGATACTGTCCTCTCCCACCTCTTCAGCCAGGTAAGGGATCCCAATGCATCCTGATGGTCACCAGCTTCTCATCCTGCATCCCTGCGGGCTGTGCCTTGCCATGTGGCATTGGACCTGCCCTATATCCACAGGGATGAGGTTAGTCAAGCCCTGCCTGATCTAGGGCTTAGCCTTCATAAGTGTGTGACTCATGCCCACATCCTTCCTGGGAATGCTGCCTGCAGCTCCACTGTGCCCAGCTGCATGCCCTCTCTGGCACAGCATAGGCAGGTTGGGGGGGAGTGGGGTGTCTGCATGGCATCAGGCAGTGCCTGCCCTAATCCCCATCCCTGCTGGCACAGGAAGAGCTGATGAACAACACAGAGCTGGTGCAGAGCTACCGGCAGCAGATCAGCAGTGTGGTGAACCAGTTCAACCTCCAGCTCTTCCTCAACATGTACAACAGGTGAGTGTCCTGGGCTTTCCATCTGCACCAGGCTGCAGTGCTGCTGGGAAGCCTGGCTTCGTTGAGTGCTGCCATCACCCTCCGGCACAGGCAGCAGTGTAGAGCTGGCTGCTGGTGCTGGCCAGGGATGCAGAGCCTTGCCATGTCCCAGAGCCTGCCACCATGGGTGCATGTCCCCTGTCTCCTGCACTGGGTGCTAGCACAGAGAAGGGGACAGAGATGCTGTCCCATCATGCAGGGGGGTGGGAGCCTTGTTACTGCACTGGGTGCTGCACCCTATTTGGGTCATGGCAGAGATGGATGTGGGGTTCTCCATCCACAGCATGCTGGGGCAGTGGGGCTGGGTGCTGCTTCCCAGAGCTGGCAGTGCATAGCAGCTCTTGTGCTATGGCATCAGTGGCAGCACTGGCCCATAGGCTCACACTCACCCTCTTTCTCCTCCATCAGCCGCAGGGATCTGGACATAAACCGGCCTGGGACTGTGCCCAACGCCAAGACACTGTGGTAAGAGTTGCACCAGCATGGCATAGGGTTGGTCCCAGGGCAGTGGAGTCCTCCCAGGCCAAGCCCTGACTGTGCCTTTTCCTCCTCTCACTTCCAGCTGCCCTGTGATGCTGGTGGTTGGAGACAATGCGCCTGCTGAAGAAGGGGTGGTGAGTGATGGTGTAGTGCCTGCGGAGTGGTAGTGCCCATCACTACATGGGCACACACACATGCGCCTGCTCAGACAAACGTGAGCACCCATGTGCAGGAACGTGCTCATGTACCAACCTACCTGCTCATGTGTGCATGTGCATGGTGACACACCTGGAAATCTCCCCTTCCTCTTATGCTCAGATGCACACAGTGTGCACACTCGGATTTGTTGGCACACAGGCACCCTCCCTGCTTGGCCACATGCACTCAAAGAACTGCTGACACACACATGTGTTGTCCATGCTTGCACAATCAATCAGCCTCAGGGATTGTGCAGGTGACCACATTTGCATGTAATGTGTAAGTGCATGCACAACCTCCTCCAGCATGTGTGTCTCTGTGCATACACACATGCTTGTACATATGTGTGACACACAGGATGCCTGGCAGGAGAAAGGTCCCCTCAGTCCCATGTGTGCAGGCTCAGGGATTGCCTTCCTGTCTCCACCTGCCTGGGGTGGGATGTGCCACTGAAGTGCCATGGGCCAGTGGCACTACCCATGTGCAACTTCTGCCCGGCTCGGGGCATTCCAGGGTGCTAATATCACTCCTCTTGCCCACAGGTGGAGTGTAACTCCAAGCTGGACCCCACCAACACCACCTTCCTGAAGGTAGGCCAGTGGCAGAGGCAGCCAGGAGGTCCATTCCCCCTCCTCCCCAGGGTTGCAGGGTGTCCCTATCTCCCCATTCTAGGTCCATCCTGGCCATGGGAAGAGCAGGGTGGCCCCAGCAGTGTCATCCTGGGTACCAGGGGACAGGGTGGGTGGCAAAGGCTCCCTCCCAGACTAAGCAGGACCTTGTCTCTGCAGATGGCTGACTCCGGTGGGCTGCCCCAGGTCACACAGGTGAGCCCTCCCAGTGTCCCCAAATTGGGTATACTGGGCCTGAGACATGCCCTGGTGCTGTCCCTCACCTCTGCTCTCTCCCACAGCCCGGCAAGCTGACTGAGGCCTTCAAGTACTTCCTCCAGGGCATGGGCTACAGTGAGTGCCGGGCTGGGCATGGGGCTGGCATGTGTCCACATGTGCACATGCGTGTGTGCCCATGTGCGTGTGTGTGCTGACCTGGCTGCAGGAGAGGAGCCTGGTAACCTGGTGTACCCATCCTGAGGGAGAGCTGCATGTGTGTCTGTGGTGTATTTATCCTTGTCTTTGGGGGGGGGGGGGGAGTGGGGGGGGGGTGTGAGCAGGCTCCATGTGCACACAGATGTGTGTACAAGGGCTCTGTGTGTACATATGTGTGTGGACAGCACGTCTGTGCATGTGTGCACACATACCTGTATGTGAGCATGCACATGCAGGGGCTTTGTGTGCATGCACAGACACACAGAATCCATGTGCACAAGTCTGTGTGCACGTAGGTGTGTGTAGGTCCATGAGGACATGTGTGTATGCATGTGTATGTGCAGGTCTGTGTGCACATTTGTGCATGCATATGCATGAAGGTCCATGTATACATATGTGTGTGAAGGTCTGTATGCACATGTGCAGGTCCATGTGCATGCACATGTGGGGTTGAGGGGGTGGAGGTGTCCTGGCCCCATGGAGCAGCCAGCCTGGCTGATGACATCTCTCTGCCCTCCCTGCCCCTGTTACATCCCGCTGCTGCCAGTTGCCCACCTGAAGGATCAGCGGCTGAGTGGGGGCTCAGGTACTGCTCAGTGCCTGCTGCTGCATGGTGCTGCCCAGCCTGTGCCCTCAAGCTGCCTGGGCACCTTTGGGAGCAGCCTGGGTGCTGGAATGGCCCTTCCCAGCCATATGTCCTCTGTCTTGCTCTGCTTTGCCTGAGATGAGCCCCCTGACCCATGGCTGAGGGCTGAGAAATGCGATTCAGAGACATCCCCCACCAAGTGGGCAAGTCTTGGCAGTGCCCACTGTGCATCCTGGATAGAGGAGGGCTGGCACCATCTCTGTACACCCTGGTGAGCCAAAAGCACTCCCATCCTGGCTCACTCCTTGCCTGGATCATGGTGACCAGGGTCCCCACTGCCTCATGCCCAGTGGTCACATTCCCAGGATATGTTCCCGGTGTGCAGCCTGTCCAGGGGCCGCTGTCCCTGCCCTGCTGTCCTTTGCCAGCCTGGAGCTTGCTCATGTTGTCACAACACCGCATGCTGCAAGCTAGTGCCCAGTGTCATTTGCTTCAGGGAGTGGGACCTGTGGCTTTGCTTGTTTGAGTTGCTGTTGGCTCAGATCTTGCTGGATTTTCAGAGGAAACTGAGCAGCCCATTCATGTCTGTGTGCCCGTGCAGTGCCATCCGCCAGCATGACCCGGCTGGCACGCTCCCGCACAGCCTCCCTCACCAGCACCAGCTCGGTGGATGGCACCCGTCCGCGTGCCTGTACCCACTCAGAGAGCACCGAGGCCATGGGACAGATCAACCACACCATGGAGATATCGTGCTGAGATCCACACCTGCCACTGACGTCTTCTCCAGAGCCATCTCCTACCCATCCGCATCACACCAGCACCTGCCTGTCCTGTCAACATCCTCCACCAGGGCTCTCGCCCCTTTGGGGTCAATTTGTCTTTTTGGCCATTGGCCCTTGTCTGGTACCAGAGAAGGAGAGGGGCTTTGCATCCCAGCCTTCAGCTCCTGGCTCTGTCCAGCAGTCACCATGGTTCTGCATCAGTCCTCAACCTTCCCAGCATCGGCCTGGCTCTGGCTTTGGAGGGTGGGTGGTGGTGGGGACAGGATGGAGAAAGCAGGGGTGAGGTGGGGATAGGATGGTGGGATGGGACAGGACAGCAGGACATGGAAGAGACACAGGAGGTAGGTTGTTGCCCCGCTATCAACCGACATCTGGCCAAGCCAGAAGGAAGACAGGGAACAGTGCTCACTGAGGGAGGTCACTGGGCCCTTCCCGGGGATGCAGCTCCCTTTCTCCCCACCAGTCCTCCCTGAGGAGAGCTGGTACAAGATCCCCAGCACACCCAGGACCTGCTGCACTGGAGCTGGCCCAGCATTGTGAGAAATAACCCCCCAAACTGTTCCCGTGCCCTGGTCACGTACCCTGAAGGTTGCCCTGGAGCAGTGGGCTCAGCCCTGCTCCAGAAGCCATTTGGGCAGGAAGGTGGCATGCAGGGGAGGGTCCCCCTGCCTCTGCTCTTTGCACACGTTGGCACTTCCTTGGTCCCTTGGCTGGGGGTAAAGAGGAGCTGTGTGTCCTGACTTGCTCAGTCCCTGGCCACTGGGTTTAGGATGTGATATGATAAATCCCCCTCCAGTTTCGCCACAGCCTGTGGGTGTCACTGCACGGAGCCATGAGCAATGAGACACTCCCACCCCCCTCTGCAATGCTGGGGACTCCTCAGCACTCTCTGCCCTGCAGGGTGCATCACTGCAAGATTCTGTCAGTGTGGGGTGACCCATGGATGTGGGGAGCTTGCCAGTGGCTGGCTTTGCCCACAGAGCTGGCCACTCATGGCCCACACAACCCCTTCTCCCCCAGCATCTCACCTGCAGAGTGGGGTGTCTCTCAAGGGTTTTGCTCTCCCCAAGCTTTTCAGCCCATCCAGCCACTGGCTCCAGTGGATCCAGTCTGTGCTGGGCATGGAGAGCTGTGTCACTGCATAACCCACCTGGCCTCTGCTGCCATCCCTACCCTACCCTGCACAGAGCCCAGGTCCTCTTGCACCAGGGGCAGTGGCAATGGGCGCTCAGGCCTTTGTGGGTGATTTGTGGGGGACCTGAGCAGGGACCTGGAGGGAACCCACTGGGCACCACCAGCTGGGTGAGCAGGTCCCACCCAGTTCCCCCAAAGTAACTGCCCCCCAGGCCCCATCCCCACTCCACAGCAAGGGGCACAGAGCTCACAGAACGTGCACGAGGGCTTTTGGCTGCAAGACCCATGCCCTGACCCACACTATCAAATGGCCAACTGAGACAAGGAGGCACAAAATGAAATGCAAACCTTTGTAAATAAGTAGAATCAGTTCTAAGTAACATTAAGTTTGATGGCTTTGTAACAGTAGCAATGGAAAATAACTGAGGTACATTTCACAGAAGAAAAAATATAGAGTAGCTAGAGAACATAATGAGAATTCTTGTATAAGATAAACCGTTGTAGTTGGTGTAGTTTTAGGTCCTTATGACCTTAGTACAAAAATAAGTGTAAGAAAAACAGGATAGAAAAACAGGATGTGCAGATAAAGAGTATCTGAAACTAGCAGGTGTCCAGGATGGGCTGTAGCTAAGCTAACTGATAAGTAGAAGGACAGGATGATTGCTATGTCTGCAGTGTTACCAAACCAATTCAGCTGGTGTAAGCATTATCTACTGCGCGTGCTTCAAAGGCTGCTAGAAGTGAAGAAAATTGTTGGAAGAAGTAAACGACCCCCAAAAGACCACTACTACGTTGCTGTGCGCATGTGAAAATGGGCGTGGAATTACGTAAAGCGGTTCTCTGATGGTTAATGAATATGTATGACGTTTAATGAATATGCATGTTAAGCACCAATATAACCACAGTCTGTTTGAAGTTCGGCTGAGACACGCTAGGTGGAGCTATCCCCCGTGTCTCCCGGCGCCGCAATAAATACCTGCTTGTCAACTTAAACTTTGTTGGCGAGTTCCTGGAGATTTCTCCGAATAACACCACAAAACACCAGTGTCCCCATGTGTCCCCCCACTTGGTTCTGCCATGTGCTTCCTTCTCAGTGTGACTCTGAAAGCTGTGTACCTCCTTTTTATTGTAGATACTGCTGCAATCTCTTGTTTTCTCAGCTTGTCCTTCCAGATGATTATATATAAAGATACCTATATACATGATACATATAAGGGTTGGTGCAGTCCCTGACCTTCCTGGGTTCATCCACCCTTGCATTCTCATCCCAGCGGTGCTATGTGGTTCCCCTGGAGGCGGTCTGCTGTGCTTATCTTCAGTTCCTCACCCTGGTTTTGTTGGTTGGTTTGGTTTTCCCTGGTGGCCTGTTCTTTTGGGGTTTGTTGGTTTTCCCTATTTTCCCCAGTCACAGAGGAATTTAATGCATTTTCCTGTCCAAGTGCAACCTGGGCTTGTCACTGTAGCATCAAGGCTGCAGCACTCACGAGATGGCAGTATGTAAACCAGATTAACTAACCTGTTGCTGTAGAGAAGATTTACTGTGTTGGAAAAAAAAAACCAAGCAGCTAATAAAGATGTTAAGAACCTGCTGTGCTCTTTCCAAAACACTGCACAGAAACAGTTCTGGGCTCATCCTGGGCCTGTCTGCAGACATCTGGTGGGCAGAGAGGACAAGGGGGACACCTTGGCCACAAACCCCATCTGGGGCTGCACTTCTGGGGGAGAGGGACCAGGGTGCCCCCGGAGGGGAGCCCAGGACTCCAAAACGCCCATGGAGGGGAGCCATGGGGTGCTTTGGCTTTGGGGCAGCCACAGGCAGAGTACCCCATATGTTGGGACTGGATGGAGACTGGAAAGCTGCCAGTTGTGGTCCATGGAGGTTGGATTCAAGGGAAGACCCTTGGCTGCACAACTCTGGGGATGAGCAGTGTCCTCAAGAGAACCAGCCTCCCTGTCCTCTTCCAGTATTGCAGACCTCTGTTTGTGTCCCCATCAAGGTTTGAATATCCCAGGCCATAACCCTTTCCAAGTGCAGGAAGAGCTCCTTGGGAAAGATCCCTGTCTGTCATGGTTTAACCCCAGCTAGTAACCTAGCAATACACAGCCACTCATTCACTGCCACTCCTTCCCCACCCCAGGTGGGATGGGGACAAGAATCAGAAGACTGTGAAACCCATGGGTTGAGATAAGAACAGTTTAGTAACTGAAATTAAAGTAAAATGTAATGATAATTGAAATAATATCAACAATAACAATATGATAATGGGTGACAAAACCAAACCAAAACAAAAAACCTCAGAATACCCAAGTGATGCACAGGACAATCTCTCACCACCCACTGACCCATCCCAGCAGTGATCGGTGCCTCCTGGCTAACTCCTCCCAGTTTCTATCCCAAGTATGATGTGCCATGGTTTGGAATACCCCTTTGGCTAGTTTGGGTCAGGTGTCCTGTCTCTGCTTCCTCCCGGCTTCTTGTGCCCCTCCTCACTGGCAGAGCATGAGACTGAAAAGTCCTTGATCAGAGTAAACATTACTTAGCAACAACTAAAAACATTGGTGTTATCAGCATTGTTCTCAGGCTAAAAGTAATGTATACTGCCTCTCTGGGAGGTCTTTGAGAGCCCAAGTCCTAAAGTGCAAACATCCAGGCCCTGCTCCTAAACCTAAGGTGGCAAGACAGAAAGCTAGTGCTGGGCATCACCAGCTTTCTGTCCTGGCACAGGACATGCTCACCTGGGCATGGCGAGCTTCAGAACAATGCCATCAACACGGATATCCACCCTTGCTTTGCCACCTAAAACTCCATCTGTGTACTGCCTCTGTGGGAACTCTTCAGGCCACCCAGAGATAGAGCTGGGGACCAGCCTCCCCAGTGTTCCCACAGAACACTGTGCTCCCTAGGGGCATCACGCAGGCCCTCCTCACTCTACCCACTCCAAAGCCTAGTTCTCCAACAGTTCCAGCCTGACCCACTCCCACAAACTGCTGCTTTAGGGCAAACAGCTTCACCTCCAGTCCTGCTCCAGCAGGAGGAACACACTGAGCTCCAGCAGCACATACTGTCAGAGTGATCCTTTTGCCGCCTAGATTTAATGTATGGAGCTTTTTTTGAACAGAAACAACTTCACTGGCTTTATTCAAGAGCTTTAAGCCCCATTAAGGGCTCAGGATGTAACTAAAGAGGCAAAAAGGCAGCGAAAAGCAACACACAGCATCAGAGTTTGCAAGTAGCAGAAGCTGCTCCATGAGGAGGCACCTGAACTGAAAGTCAGTGAGCCCCTCCTTGCTCGATGCCAGAGACATGGGAGAGATGATGCTGGTGCCGTTCTGGGATGGGTTTTAGCTGATCTAAACCTGCAGAAAGGGTTGGCCCTTGCCTTACTTCTCCTCATACCCTTCCCAAACTGGGTTTCCAGCTCAATCAGCTGAACCATCTGACCCCAAATCAGACTTTGGTTGGTATAAGACAACCACAAAACTCTAATCCTGGGACAGAATAAGACAGAGCAAAGCTTCTGGATGAGTATCACCCCTCACACTGGCAGCTGCTGAAGTATCCCTGGAGTTATGAGGACAGTGCACCACATCTGCCACAAGCAACCCTTAAGAAACTATTCTTATAACAAAAAGAGAAAATGAGGGAAAGTTAAACACCCAGGTCAGAAGAAGAGGCTGTCTGGGTTGGGGTTATTCCTGAGCACTCACCTTGTCCCAAGAGCCATTTTCCCCTATTACCCACATACAACCTCCACCACAGGACCCTCCATGTTTGAGGCATGTGATTCCCACCCCACATGCCTCCCGCTGACCCCTCAGTAGAGCAGCTCCATCCCCCCAGCACTGGCTGCTCCCCTCCAGGCTCACCGTGTTATAAATGTGGCTCAAATAAACTGACGAGAGCCAGACCAATGAATCAAATCAGTTTATTGAGCAAGCGACAGCAAGCAAAACAGCGCTGGGCAGCCGGGGAGTCTCCGCTCCGCCAACGGCACGCACCCCACTTCCCCAAAGTCACTGGTTTTATACTCTTCTTCATTCGATATACATGTCACCTCCTGGCGTCCTCTGCCTCTGTGTGATCTGTAGATAAGGGGTTTCATTCTGTCTCCCGGTGGGTGTGGGGAGGAAGGCTCCTTATCGCCTTCCCCATGCATCGTTTAATGGATACCCGCGGTCTATAAGCAGCATGTCAAAGCACCGTAATTTTCCAGTAACTATTAAGCAAGCAAGTAACTCTAAGCAAGTAACTCCTAAGCAAGCAAGATTTGATTAACAGGAATTTACTCATTACAATCCCCTCTTTTTCTGTTTACCATTTTGTTCATCAAATCTTTGGAGTGCCGCGTGGCTTAAAATTAAGGTGTCTTCTACTGCAGATTCCTTATCTAGTGGCTGGTATTGAGCCCTAATGAG